TTTCAGCCAGAGAGGTTAACAACCATTGTGCAATGTCTGGAATCGATTTTTTTTGTTGTTTTAAGTCTGTAGATACAAAGATAACATTTCAATTTATAGCATGCTGTGTGGACCTTGCCTTGCCTGTCCGTCTGGAAACGTTTTGTACCATTTGTGAATTCTGTATAATTGTATAACTTATATAAGTATAGATAATCACGACTGCTGCTCGTGATATTTGAAAATTCCTTTAAAATTGATCAAGCCGTTGGGCGACCACAATTTGAAAGAATTTTCAAATATCAGTAGTAGTGTAAATCCTTAATTGCTCGAGCTTTTATACGCCGGAGGAATTTGGAAACGGAGATTTCATCCTGAAAACGCGTCAAATTTTTTCTCCGAGCGTTTTAGAAAAGCTCCGTTTTCTTGTGGACGGTAAGCCAAACCGTAGAAATAAAGCTGTGCGCGTTTTCAGATTTCTCCGGCGTAGCGCGGACGCTGCCTAATTCATTATGTGACTCTGAGACAATTACGAAAGCACATGTATCAATTTGCAACTCAGTGCAAATTCTAAAGACGATAAATTGTCCTGCTCTCAGCCAATTTTCTCACTTATATGATGATGCATGTAATTTTCCAGGCCCAAAAACAAACTAGTGAGGTGTTTGTCTTGTCAAAGTAAAACCTGTAAGTTCAGCAAGCCAGATGGGAGAAAGGTTGAAGGCAGGCCGTCCAATTGTCTATCAGCAATGCCAGAAAACACGCTAAATATGCGGCTAATTAAACCAAGTTTAAACTATTTTCCTCGAGACTTAATGGTCAACCCTGACCGCTAAATTTGAAAATTAGACAGGCATGGTAATGAGGTCCACAGAGCATGCAATAAATTTAAATGTTATCTTAGTATTTACAGACAAGAAATCAATTCCAGCCTTTGCACAATGGTTGTTAAATAGTTTTACGTAACTATTATCCTAATCCCAGTAACTGAAAATAAAACGAATTGGCTTTTAATTTTTATTTTTATTCCTTACTAAGGAAATGGAGATAAGCAGGACCGAAGAAGATGCCGCATACCGGGTACAGATGTTAATTAAAATCGTAATTTTAATTTTAAAATACTGTCAGTGCTTCTCAGCACTGGTGGAAGTACCATGACACCAGTTTTTGACAATTTGTTCCTATTGAAATCATAAATGACGAACAATGATATTGGCAAACAACAGTGATTTCCGAAAAAAAGAACTGATACAAAAATCTGTTACTGATGTTTTATTTTACTGCTTTATTGTTGTTCTTCTCTATTATTGGTAGTGGTAATGTTATTTTTGTTATTGTTTTGTTTTGTTTTGTTTTTTTTTTTGTTTTGGCTCTCTTTTTTTTGGTAGTGGTACACATGTAAGAGGCTATGTAAGGGTTTTCAGAATTAGTTTTGTCCTCGAGAGGCCTTGGCTATGGCGTGATACCTTACGAGGGCGCNGAGCCTGTTCTTCATAACCCCAGTTTATTTTATTGGACATTTTTTGGACACAATCGTGTTTACTCATCTTACTGACCTCTATTCCATTTGAACTCTGTTCAGGCGCGCAAGGCTGGGAACGAGGGACGTAAGAGGCGGGAAGCAGACAATTATCATGAGGCTGAGACCATGGCTCTGACGTCAATCTCGTTCGGACTGTGTGCTGTGCTGACCATTCTCATTTGTATCCCTCAGCTGAAGCGTGGCTTTGATTACGATTAAATCCCGTCGAATTCCGATAATAGGCTCCACCACCCACCCCCCTTGCCCCCAATCTTAGACGTCAACAGCTAACCAATCAATAAACGGGTATGCCTGAAAATACGTTCACTAGATTTGCCTTAACTCTTTTTCTTCTTGACTCTTTTTGGAATTATTAGTTCGTTATTATAGAACGTGAGTTATATTCTACATCCTCGCGGTATGTTAAGAGACTTCTGATGTTCACTTGTCGACTGTCGAGTTGTTTTATTTTTGTGTTTCTTAAGCTTGCGTTAAGAGAGTTCCACCATATAGTGTTCTTATGTGTAGCTAATGCCTTTCCAAATTTAAACGTCCATCTCTCTATTTTAACTGTGAAATCCTTCTGACCAGCTTCTACGTAAATAATCCCTCGAGAAACCGAGACAACCCCGGGAGCCCACCGAGGGAGCCAAATACCCAGGGCTTATTATCGGAATTCCACGGTAGTCAGTTTGATTTAGCAAGAAAAACAAAACTCATCTATTTGATATGTTACGGCCATGTAGACTTCCGTAGTTAGGGTTTTAAACCAAGAGACTGCTTTGTTTCTTCCGTATAATTTTGTATAATAAGTTTAGAGGAGTGAGGATTTGCTGCAATAAAATAAAGGCAGGGAAACGTCTCGAGCTGTTTCAATAATATTTCAGATATCCTTAATTAAGAACTAAACGATTGACTTAAATGGGGTCAAGTTATGCTGTTTGTAAATGATTTTCTTAATATATCACATAAATACATCCATGTGCAAGTCCGTCAACTTCTAGTCTCGGGAGCATGCGATTAAATCAGTAAAACATCCAACGATAATAAAGGATGTAATTACGACTAATGAGACACATAGTTGAAGAACAAAGACCTAATTGTTAATGTGCGAATCGTAGGACTAAATGAATTACTCAGATATGGACAAAATTGTTTCCTTTTATGAAAAATTACAGTCAAATTTGAACTTTTTAAGTTTCATGTTATAAACCATTCCGAAACATTATTCGTCAAATGACCTAACGTTAACCGACAGCCGTCAAAACGGCTTATTTTAACCTTTAATCGTCAAAGGCCCCTCCTTTTCTCCGTTGAGACTCTCGTGTAGCAGTCGTCAACAACAAAAGAAGATGTATGATTTTGGAGCTTCCATTAACTACGCACTCTTTGGGAGAGAGCGGGTCTGTCGGCAGACTATAGCTAGTGTCGGAATATTAAACTGACTACAAGTATTATCGTGACTTAAGACTAAGAAGTTTGTGATTTCCTCTGGTGCTCAGCATATTTCATAAGGGTCTAATGATCAGATCAGGAGCCCATTATGGTAATGGGCTCCTGTCAGATATAGAACGTCAAAACTTTAAAAAGTCGTTCTACCTATAATTGCAAGCACGTTTAACCACTTAGCCATGTCTGAGTTCTTCCATGCATGCTTTCTCTATAGTCCAACCAATCATTACCATTCGGTGCGAGATTGTCAGGACGGGGCCCGTGCTGTTTCGCTCCTAATGCGTTGAAGTGTATCAGGTTTGACTTGATTTGGCTTGAGATCCATTTCTCCTAACTGACGACGGTTGAAGTATGATCGTTTAAGGCCGCACGCGACAGTGTGGAGATCTTTTCTTATAGGTTTTCTTGAACTGGTACTGTTGGAGACTCATTCTCTTCAGCCTACGTTCGAGCCTTGCTCAGAGGCTTCTTGAAGATCGTCCCTAAGGGCTGATAGTCCGGGTGAACTGTGATGTTACTCTTTTCGTAAAGACATCGATGCCATTTTTTCATACAGGTGACTATCAAGAGGCATTCCTTCTCGATTTGGGCATAGTTTCTCAGTTTCCCTGGCGTCAATAGTATGCGATGTAAAACACACTGGTCGATTGTCCTGTAAAGGCACGTTCCCTGAAGTAGAAGCTTCAAAGCATTTCGCATGTGTTTGCAAGGTGTCTCGATGCCTGTGGCCTTTACGGATCAGTCTCACACGAAGTGTTTCGGATACCAAACCAGTGATGAATTGGTCTCTAGTGAGCTCAGGGACGACCTCATTTGCGGATTTGAGTGTCCCGCGAGGCAATAGATCATCGCTTTCCTTTTGAATAGGTCAATGAATGTCTGTCTTTCGCCTGAAATTCCGATAAAACTGACGCAATAAAATTCTCTTAGCGCAGCCACGACAATGTCAGGTTTCTTTTGATTCTCTTCGGTCAGGCTCAAGCTGTACTTGTACATCGATCTTGCAGCTGAAGACAGAGATGCCCGAAGGCAGACCATCGCCTTGTGCGATTTGATCCATTTCTAAGAGGCGTCGTTTTCGCCAACTTAATCTATTCTATTCCATGCAAACATTGCGACAAACACTACATCGGGGAGACCAAACGGAAATTCAATACTCGGCTCAGAGAACACCAAAAAGCGGTCGAACTAAAACATCCCAAGAAATCCGCACTCACCGGAATTGTGGGAATCGTCTACAATATTACGCACCAGCACAAGTTGGCGAAACCGACGCCTCTTGGAGGCTTGGGAAATGCCTCAAGAGTACAGAGCTTTGATTCTATTGGATAAGAACTAATTTTCTAATATATTCGGTTTTTATTAGCAACTACGCGATCTTAAATATACTTGTCACTTCATTATACTTTTTATTACCCCTGAAGAACGTTTATGTTAATAGCCGAAACGTTGGGTTTTTAAAGATTATTAATAGATTTTCTCAACCAGTGTAACATTTTTATATTTATCACGGAACCACCTGGTTACAAATCAGTTTTTAAAATAAAAATAAATTTTGAGGCAGTGAATCGCCTCGAGCTGTTTTACTGTGATTCTTTAATTTTTCATGAAGATTTCTTCTGGTGCTTCATCTACAAGCCACTAACGAAGGGGCTATTTCTGTTTAGTATCACCCAACTAGTGGACTATTGCAAATCCTGCATTTTAATTGGCTACGCTACTAGAGAACTATTAATAATAGTCCTCGAGTAGCGAAATTGGCGCAATCGACCGTGACGCTTTCTTTCGTTTTAATGTTCTTTAATCCCAAATAAATGTTTCTTCAACTTGCATTTGCTAACTTTATTATTGCCTTTTCTGTCCGATTAGTTGGGTGATACTAATTGATAATTATATAATAATCAAATCAATGCGCGCGCTCTGATTGGTCAATCAGCTATGGTTTATTGTGCCAGTAAACTCACGGAAATTTCGCGTGGTCTATAGGCTGATAAACCACTTGGGATGTTGGAAGAACACTCGAGGAATTCCTAACTCTTCTCGTGTTCTTCCAACATCCCACGGGGTTTATCAGCCTATAAACCATAGAAACTTGTGGTCTATCGCTTAAGCATAACATTGGATGTGATATGGCATTGTCGATCCGTCGTCAACGACAAAAGAACATGATTTTGGAGCTGTGAGTAGCCACGCACTCTTTGCGAGAGAGCTGGTCTGTCTGCAGGCTAGTGTCGTAATATTAAACTGACTACATGTATTATAGCTAGTGTATCGGGAGAATAACAATGACTAATGACTAAGATGTTGGTGATTTCTTGTGGTGCTCAGCATATTTCATAAGGGTCTAATGATCAGATATAGAACAACGCAACCTAAAGTCGGTCCACTTATAATTGCAAGCACGTTCATCCACTTAGCGATCTCTGAGTTCTTCCGTGCTTTGTCATACTGTCCACTTCTGTAAGAATCATTAACCTGAAAGAATAAACAAATGTTAAGGTTCGATTTCCTGGCTCTCCCCAGTCAGATCTCTCTTTCGGGGCATGGGCTCATTTCGCCGAGCAGCAGTTGGTAATGCTTCTCTATCCTATCGTAATTCTCTGTCTTTAGAAACGTTACACGTGCATGTACTAAAACTGCATTTTAGTCATAGAGCTTAGGCTGCTGGTGACCCTGATTGCCACTGAATCTCCCATCGACCTTCATTCAGGAAAAAAAAACCTTAAGACCAAGCAATAGTACTTTTTTCTAAAGCTAGATTGAGTTTTTTTTTAGAAAAACAAAAACCTTTACAACTTTTTCGATTTCCACTAATGGGTGCCTTCTATCAAAGCGATAAATTAACCACTCTCACAATTGGACCAACAAGAAAAGGCCAACCCATAAAATGTTTCTTTAATCTCACCATTTGACGTATTGGTATAGGACATAAACCGTTTTCGGTGAAACAAGTCTGACACGTTCGACAGGTAGACCAAGCAAATGAAAAGTACTAGAAGTAAACAAAAATGCAAGCAAATGAAACTACTTACGAGAAAAGAGAACAGAAGAGCAATTATTTCAAATGGGAGCGTGCAAAATATCACGGAAAAGATAGATAATCCCATCCAGTTTGAAGGGGGAATCTGAGGTATGACAACAGGTCCCGGCCTCTACAATTACACAAACATGAAATTAGTAGCAAATCTTAAAAAATTGACTTTGTAAAATGTCAAATCCCACTTTTTGTTCCTCCCATGGAGGTCATTTTGGATAAACTAAAGTGGCATTGTGCCTGGTTTCTGTAGCATGCGGCGACTCGGAGTCCTCTAACCCCCCGCTCCCGCTCTGGGTTCTTGTCCAATGCAGATTACCTCCTCCTCTTCACCATCCTCCCCCTCCACACAGATACGTCCCGTTTAGGCGTCGGTATTTCTCTACAGTTCACTAAAACCCGTTTATACACTTGCATGGATAGAGGCCCTTCCAGAGTACCGAGTCCTTCCCAATTCTTTCCCACAAAAGCTTGATTCAGTGACTTTTGCAGCAGATCTTGCGTCTAGAGTAATTAGGAGGGACCAAATCTGTTAATCGGAAGCCCAATGTATATTTTCTCACTTATATTGTAGGAACAATTAGAGATATGCTTGGTACTGGTCCTTAGATATCAGCCCATATAACCCAGCAACATCATTACTCCTTTGCCGAACCACGTTCTTGATCTTGTCAGTAAAAATGTGGTAGAAAGTGCACAGTAGTCAAACGCACTGGTCACCCGCACTTAACTTCAAAAAAACGAGCGCTTATAATTTGATTCGTAATCTGATTTAACACTGCTCAAGAACTGCTCCTTTCATAACGTCTCGTTTAGAGATAACTAGAGTTGACGTTTTGCCCTTGACCGCTATGTAGGTATAAGGTGATAAGATGTGCCGGAAATAAAACGTAATCAAGTAGTGAGATTGCCAATCAGTCGAGACCACTGATTCTATGGCTTTACAAATTTAAACTGGATTTGACTGAATCTGAAACAGCTGCTGGGGTGGCGGTACGTCTTATCAATAAGTAACTGACCCTGATCGGGTTCTATCAAGGGCTAACTGACCAACATCATGCAAAGCTCAGAATCATTTGTTTAGTTTGGTAGTGCCATTCATTCATTTATATGATACTTTGCGAATTGCGTTCAGGTACATTAACTTCCGCGTGGAAAGGAACATTAGATGCAAATCAAACTAACTGCAATTGGCAAGAAATAGATGATAATTGATTATCATATAATTAGGAACGTTCAATTAAGCTAAAAGTGTATCATCTTACTTGAACAGGCATGACTCCACTGACAACAGTGGTGGTCTGCTGAACATCATTCATTGGTTGAACATGATTCATTGGTTGAACAAGATTCATTGGTTGGACATGATTCATTGGTTGGACATAAAGGCAATCCTTGATGTTTAACTGAAATAGCAGCTGCAAGTGGCTGCTGGATGTGAATAGGTTGGGCATGGTAGCCAGGCTGAACTTGATATCCAGGCTGTACATGACAAAGTATAAAATAAGATTTCAACGAACTTGAATAAAAAGGCCCTTGGATGTCAGCTCTTCTGATTATGAATGTATGAAGACGGAGAGAAACGTTTTAACAAGAACACTTTGGATTCTGCTTTAGCTGTTTCATATTAGCGATTTATGTAAGTGAGAAACACCATCAACACAAGAAGATAACATTCGTATCCCCAAGCAGCCATGTAATGCTCTGTCCATTACGTGGATGAAACATCTCTATCTAAGACATCTCAGTGTTTTTTTTTTATCATTTTAAAAGTATCGAAAGCGGTTGTCGTCATAACTGAGGTCGGGACTGTAATAGAAAATGTGTTAATTAATATGACAACCATTTCAACGTAACACAAAGATGAAGTACGTATTCTCAAGAGAATGTTACTCTCTGTGTTAGAAATGTCAAATTCAACTTAAATGATGTTGAAAAAACGATTTTACATGTCCGAAATCATAGCAACGTCAACATCCTCACTTTTGAAAGACTGCGCGAGAGAAGGAAATCAAATTTACGGAACAAAACTCCCGGTATTTCATAAATATCCAGATAATAAATAGCAATGGCATACATTTCTTCGTAACAAGTAATGGGAAAACAAGCGTAGGTAACTTTCTTTCCTATAGCAGGAAACAACCGTGTGTGCACTAAACGAAAGAAAGCATTGCCCTAACGTATCATTGTTAGAAAAGAATACGTAAGTTTTCCTGACAGGTAGTTCCAACACTAGTGATTGGGTTTTTAAATGTCTCAGAAATCCTTACATTGTTAAAGGCTGTCAAAGAGGAATGCAACGCTTGCTGAGGGGGAGTTAAGGTCTGAATAGGCGCGCCAGGTACGCCAGTTGCCCCAGGGGCGCCAGTTGCCCTAGGGGCGCTAGTTGCCCCAGGTGCGCCAGGTGCCCCAGTTGCCCCAGGGTCATCAGTTGCCCTAGGGGCCTGCAGCACACCGCCAAGTTGATTTGTCCGTGGAGCACATGATTGAGGTAACTGTCTAGTTAAACGACTGGGAATCTGAAGTTCACCCATTTCTGGCAACTGGGACGAAAAATCGCCACCATCTTGGAAACAAGTTTCAGGGGAAATATCCAAGCTAAGATCTGCTACGGAGCTCAGTCCCTCAGCGCAGGCTACAAAAGAATTATGATGATGAAAGTTAATCGCTGAATGTCTTTGACAGGTTCTAAGTGAATAATTGGCTATAATGATTCCTTCTATAACAACACAAGACCGCGGTTACTTTAGTTTAAGAAGAAGTGTTACCGTAAGGTTGGGTATATTTTACTGCTTAGAACAATTGATCCAAAAGCAAATTTCATGTCGGCCAAACACAAGATCTTATTCGTTTAAGAAAATAATTAACTACTCGAACCAATCCAAGAGAAATGTCAATTGATAGTGACCCTTCTCCTTGAACTTCATCCACATGTTAGAAACAAGAAGGACCACCATTTAACTCTTGAATCATTTACTCCCGTAGCCAAGTAGATACAGCTGCATCGTGGTTGTGAGAGTAGTCCAACCTCTGAACTCCCCCTTCCCCGGCGGCGCGCTCTATGTAAGGGTTGAACACAGCCGCGGGAAGAGAGTCACTTTTATCCGCCTGGGTTTAACCCCTATAGGTGAGAGGAGAGTGGTGTAAATGTACCTCGAGTGGCGCACGGACGAACATACGTACGTACGGACGGTCACGTGACAACAAAAATGTTTTGAATCGATGGGTTACCAAATTTTTTAAGGTATGGGGCTCCGCCGCGTGCTCCGCTGTAACATTACCTGATAAATCCAATTCTATATCCTCCATAGGTCAATCTCAGAGAATCTATTCTCCTGAAATTAGTAATAATGCGTCTTTGCGTTAAACAGCGAAGAAAACAAACGATGTATACATAACAAAATGCTCAGCTAAAGGAAAACAGTTAAGAATGATACCCTTACGTTATTTAAAAAACAAAATTTTAATTATCTTAACCCTTTAAAACCAAAACTTTCGCACAAAATGCCGTTTTTAACCCTTATGAATCTGCCTGTTGCTACCATGATGCTAAATGTTATTAAGTTATTTTTTTTTACCAAAAAGATAGATTTATCGAAGAAAATTTACAAAAACGTACAAAATTTTTTATTTTGGTACATGCGATTGTTAGTTCCGAGTTTTTTTCTTGTCCCTTTCCTGTCCTTTTTCTCGGCCCTTTTACTCTCGCTACCTTTTGCGTTTCATATTCTTTCTGGCTGCCGTAAAACGTTGGGTGTCAATTGTGCGCATTTTCTCTTGTTGTGGACAAAGCCTGAAAATGGGACCTTGATCAATTATAGGTATAATGGGCCATTTTACCACCTTTTTGGCACCAAAACTGTGAACGTTGTTTTTCAATTTGCTAAGTCAGAATGCCGTCGATATCCAAAACCAATAGTTGTGCGGATAGATCTATCCTTGCTCTACTATCTGCTTATTAAGAACACCTGATGACATTTAAGTTGATGACGTCACAAATGGTACAAAGAGTACGACCATTAACAACGCGTATATACGTGCTTGGGAGTTAAAGGGTTAAGACAGGTAGGAGCAGGAGTAGTTGTCTTAGTAAGCGGAAGTTCATGTCATCGGACAAAGTCTAGTCCAAAATGAGTCAGTGTTACAGATATCGTTTTAGCCCAACGCTGACAATGGTATAATACACAGTAACGCATCATAACAGCAATATCCTTTGTGGTGTTGTGAGTCATGCAATGTTTGATGAATTCAGCAACATGAAGTGGAATCTATTTGCTATTCGCCATTTCTTAACGAAGTAATTTTGAACAAGCTAAAAGAAGTAAAACACTTGGCGCTTAAGCTATGACAAAAACAATAACAACTACAACAATAACAACAACAACAACAGAAAAAACACAAAACAAACAAACAAAGCAAACTTGCTCAAGATCAACTGTAGGGGGATTACGAAAGTTCGAACAAGACGAACACGGCACTCCAGCAAAACTGATGAAGTTGGTGATTTTCCAATACACAAAGTTTAATTTACTTCCCAGTTTCACTTTCGTTGTTTTACCGTTCCTGATTTAGTGATCGCAGTTTTCGCTCTCACCGTTAAATTGCAAACTTAGTTCTTTATTTTGTTCTCTTAACGGTAGCTACACTGAAACTAGCATATTTTAAACGTATTAAGGGATCCTTCATATAAACATTTTTGCAAACTGTGTTTGATAATCTTGTCGAGCGCTATGCGACACAACTCGTCTCTGCGACTGTCATTCTTTGCTGTTTCACCATCACTAAGACTACTAAGTCTGCATACGAGCCAAGTGGCCCATCAGACCGGAGCGTATCCCGGTTTCTGTAACATGAAGCAACTAGGAGTATTTCTACTCCCCCCTGGATGGGATGTTAGTTTCCCAGCATTAAGTTTGCCGGTACCCATTTATAGACCTGGGTGGAGAGAGGCATCGTGAGAGTAAAGTGTCTTGCCCAAGAACACAACATAAATGTCCCCGGCCAGGGCTACAACCGAGAAGAAACGAGCCACGGCGCCTCCCACCAGACGACTAAGGTCTGAAACAAATGAAATATATTCGTAGCATTGTGGTATTGGCTTTTCGAAATAAATGATTAACAGAGCGTGAGGGCCGTACCGGCAGTGGCAGTACGAACAAAGTACAGCGAGGTCCTTACAATGTTCTCCAGTACGGCTCAAGCAAGCAAGGTTAGTAAGTAGTTTATTATGTAGTACTTGTTTTGAATTTGCCGGCAAAAACAAAAACAAAAAACAACAAAAAAAATGAACGGCTTATGACCGTTTCCGTAGAAAACAAAATCCGCAGAAAGCAAAATCCTGGCCAAGAAAGAACCAATCAGAACGCTTGGATTTACCCCAGGACTGCCTTGCCATATAAAAATTTTCAGTATTAGCTATTCACTTTTACTAACTGCGGGATTTGAATTGTTTAAGCAACCCTCGTTCAATATTTCTTAATTAGTAGATATGTTGTTCAAATTGACTTCCGCTTCTTAAAATCTTAATAGCTAATTATAGCTTTTTATGCTACATAAAATAAGTCAACATTTGTTTCTAACGGTGTAAAGAAGTATTTCATGATTGTTATCGACTATTTTTGGCCTTCAAGTCAATAAAATCGTGAAAATGGAGGTTCCTTTCTGTTCAGCTTTACTAGCCACAAACGATTTCCATTCTCACGGAATATCAGATCATGTGCCTAAATAAAAATTTGTATGAACGGATGGCGTCCAATAAAAAGGTAATTAAACCGCTCAGCGTTTCTGGAAGACGTCTCCAGTTGTCCATACAAAGAAGAACAAACCCAGCCAGTTATTATCCTTATGCCTTCTTCCTGCAATAGAGCTCACCTGCTGAACATAGTTGTTGAGAAGCTAAATTTGTTGATTACTTTAACTGTTAGTTTTAGTCTGTCTGGTATCAGTCGGCACTAACATCCAATTCGCTGTTCAACATGAGCATAAGTACAAAATGTACGAATAATTTAATTTACTTTTCATATTCTTAAAATAATATATGTTAACTTGCAATGCGGCGTTTCTTAAAGTCTGATAACAGAATAAGGGAAAGTTGTTTCTTATTATCACTTCTTGTGCTAGCTTTCACTCGGCGCTTCCTTGCGCTTAATATATGCTTGCCGCTAAAATGATCCTCCCCATTTAAATGCTTGTGCGCTCTTACGCCTATGGTGAGCTTGAATAGCTGGCTTTATAGGCTCGCCAAAACTGAACGACTACGCCATCTTAACTAAAACACGTACACATTCTTCCGTTGTGTTATTGCGATCTCCAACTGAACAAAAGTGTACTTCCCTCCCTTTCTATGTTTTAAATTGTGAAAACAAAATTATCAATAGAAATAGATACGTGTAAAATACCTGAGGAAGCGGTCGTAGGCTAGACGATGAGCAAAGTTTGCGTCTGCAGCAGAAACTTTCACATACAGGAACTCGAACAAGGCGCGCGTGCAAGATAGCGATAAGTGGGTTTTTGAAATAACTAGTAGTGATCCGTCACATTTGATCGGACACATCATTGTCTTTAACATTTTAACCTGATACAAACAAAGAACAGAAACCAAGTGGAAAGGCATTTATGAAATATTGCTGCTGTGTGTTTCAGGGGTGAACGGTATAGTTGAAACACAACTGAAACATCAATACGTTAAGATCGAACCCCCGGGGAGGACTCCCAGAAAAATTAGGTGGGGGTGTGGGACCCGCTTCCCAAAAACCCCTACCCTATTTATCACCAAAATCTGCGATATTCCCTACCCTATCTATTACCTGACCAAAAATTCAAAACCTTATTTATGACCTGACCCTTAAATCAAAACCCTGTTTTAGACTTGCGTCATAACACGTTCCCTAGTTCAGACCAATGTTAAATTACCGTAAACATAATTTATGAAGGGCTTTCGTTGATTTTCTTTTCGATAATGATGAAAAAGTGGCTTCTTCTTAAAAACATACCCATGACAATGCTAGAGTGCAAAAACCATATCCTATTTATGACTAAAATAGCCAAAATCAGCTAAAATCGATACCCTATTCATGACTGAAACGGCTGAAAAACCATACCCTTTGGGGCCGCACATACCTATATAGCCCATATATGGGAATACCCCCCCCCCCCCC